CAGATCTGCGGGAACAGCAGCATCCACTACACCGCGAACGGCGCCTACCACGCCAACATCTAGCGGCTCGCCGCCACGCTCCCCACGAACGCCTCCTCGTCCGGGAAGCTCTTCACAACGGCCACCATCGGCGAGGTCCCTGACACCGTCTACGCGCTCGCGCTCTGCCGCGGCGACGCCGACTCCTCCTCCTGCCTCGTCCGCTACTCCAACCAGAACTTCCTCTCCATCCCCTTCTCTTCTCGCTAGATCCGGCGTCGAGCGCCGCCCCTCTGCCACCCGCGCTCGGCCTGGAGGCAACGACGACGCCTCCGTTCCCCTCTTGTCAGGCTACTGGGCCGGCACGACCTGCTAAGACGCTCGGGCTTTTCAGGCCGGCCTGGCCCGAAAAATGGCCTGACAGGCCGTGCCTGGGTTGTTGGCTAGGCCCGGTGCCCGGGAGGCACGACGTGTCGTGCCGGCCCGACCACCATCGGGTCGTGCCTGGCACGGGCCCGTGCCGGGCCGGGCCAGGCCGGCCCGATGGACATCTATAACCTCAGCTTACTAAAAATAGTGTCACGCAGAACAAACCTCAGTCAACAAGGAAGCGGCACCTAGATAAGCGCATGCAACAAAAGTTTGAGTGGATGTGTGTTGCCACGCAACAGCAAGCAGCACACAAAGTTTAACTGCCGTGGAATAAAAAAAACATATAATCTACCCCAAAAGTAATCTCGTGATCTCCTTAGACTTTCACCATGTTCGCTTGTTGGTTTCAGCCAGCCCAAACCAGTCAGTAAACAGTGTTTTCCTCTCACAACAAATCAGCACTAGTCAGTCCAAACCAGCCCAGAAACCAACCAGCGAACATGCCGTTTGAGGTGCTGGTGGCTAACGTGCATAGGAAGGATATCTTTGATATAACAGAAACAAAATATCTCGTACCTTGCGAGATTGACCGGAATTGAATCAAACAAGGTACACAAAAATTGCCGTGATTTCTTTGAGTGGACGAAGGAAACCAGAATTGATATTCCTTCCATAGAAAAACTAGGATCCAATCTACTCCTCTTTGTTTCTACTTGGCGTACAACGCAGAATCTAAAAATGAACAACTCAAGGATATCTCAAGAGCAGAGACCCCAAACAAGACTTGACGCTAGACCAAGACTTGAATAAATCAACGAACACGATGACACACGAGGAACGACCGTTTAATAAAGCAAACTAAAATTTTAAAAATTACAACGGCACAACGGTGATGGGATAGGAAAAAAAATGACGAACACAAATATTTTGTGGGACAATTTTTTTGATGTATGTGACAAATAAAAACACAACTAATCTAGGGTAAATGCGAACCTGACGGTATACCTGAAGCTTCGATACTACTTTATGGGGACGGGGTTCCCGATCTTCTGTCAGGTTCAAGATAACTATTGATTTGGTGAAGATTGACACACTGATCCAGCTTCAAATCACAAAGACCAGAACCTTGCAACCTTAGCACCATGTCTCCTCTGGTTATCAACTGTCTCACAATCCGGTGGACCTCGCCAAGAAGGCTAAATCCATTTGCGAATCAAAGAACACAAGCAAGAACAAGATAAAACGCAACTCAATTGAAGTGACAATTGCAGATTAATGATTAAGCACTCGAAGTTGGGGTCTCGCAAACCGATAACGACGACTCTTCAATGACAGATTGATCTAAAGTAAAACCCTAGAACCTAACGTACACGGCGGCTACTGATTATATAATCTAAGGGGCGTCCAAGGAACTATATTCGCGTCCCTAAGAAGTCCGACATGTTACAAGGCCCAAACGGCCCAAAAGATGGCGACGCAGCGTCTTGACAGATTCTGGATGTCAACTTATTTTGATGATTCTCGTTGATTCTGAAGAAATTTTGATGTGGGATCACTTCCATTGGTTATCTTATCAAAATAGCTTTCCATCCATATGTGGATCGTCAAAAATAGAGTCCGTTTGTGACTTGGGCGTCCGTTTTACTACAGACTGCTCCTAGAGCCCGAGATTGACTCGAACTTCACATGAATTGGGCCTCCAACTTGGCTTGAACACCCTTGCTTGCCTCCTAAGGTGGTGGCCAAGGAGGAGGACATCTTTGGGTGTCTCTGAGGTGTTCTCCATCTCCTTGGGGCGTGGTCCATCTTGGGCCAGGGTCCCAAGGGTGAATATGAGACCCACGACGATGACATAGCTCTCGACAAAAACAGCAGCAACTTGTCATGATGATTTGGAGGCATTGCCGATGTGATATTGAGATGGGACTAGATCTGTTTGAAAGCTTATCAAACAAGCTTTCTATCAAGTGCTTATTGACCTCAATCGCACTCCGGATGGATGAGTTATAGCCTTCCCAATGAAGTATTGCCAGACTGCCGTTGAACTGAAAGTTCAACTTTGATGGACTTACACTTTGATACACATTTGTAGCTACAAGCAAATAATGACATGTACACGTGGAACTAAGTGAATTGTAACAAAAATCACTATACAAATGTAGGAACGAGCTCACCTTAAAATCAATGGTCATATCCGAAGGTGACATGTCCTCATCAATACCCATCCCCTAATGGATCAAATCCCCACCGGGTATCGAGTATCTGGCCCTGTTGTCATCCCTACCCCTGACTAGTGAATGGTATGACATATCTTTGTTGGGCCGGACTCAAAAGTACAGTCCATGTCCCACTTTATGTTTATTAATAGGCTCCACCCTAGTGATTCCTTAGTCATTTGCCTTGTATCCCTAATAGAGACATCCTCCTAATAAAGACATCCTCCTCTGCCTCGATGCGCCGCCGCCTTCTATCATCTCCAAGCCTTGACACCATTGCTAACACCACACACCACCTTCTTCGCCAATGATAGTTATTCGTCTCGTTGCCTCATCATTCAAGTGGTTTCTTGGATTCAAAAAATGATCCAGAGACCTTGGAATTTTCAAGTAATCCACGCTGCAGTGGTTTACGTCTTGGTGTCTCGTCATCGATGAGGTATTCCAGATCGGAGTTTTGTTACTAAGATCTTGGTACTATCTAGTCTCCCACCTCTTTCATCTTCGACGCAATGGATTTGACATCTTCTATTATGAAAAAGGGATTAACTCACTCTTGTATTTTCTTTGACAATATATTAGAATAAGAGGAGGGAAAAGAGAGATGGAAAGGGAAAGCATACTCTGTGATGACCTATTCCTCTAAGCATATCCTCATTTGTAGCTCTTAAGGCAAGTCATCAGTTGATAGGTATGGATGTGATTAGGTCATTACAACATTTACTATTTGACTAAAATACCGCTGTAAAAAATAAAAGGACATTTCTAATGTTTGCACACTTATGCGCTCCTTTCTACATGCGCATCTTACTTTCTTCTTGCGCAAGATCATGACCTGTCATCACTGTTGTCACTAACCTGAGCATTCTTTCATTCTCGCTCGAGTGCTCCTACCCTTCTCACCCCTCGTTGTATGGAGATGTGCTGCCACTATCTACACCACCATGTGAGCCATATAGGAGGTCGACACTGCATCCACCTCAATTGCAACTATCCCCTTTTACTGCTACAATGGGTCCCTTCTGCCCACTATCATATCCGCCACCACCGCCAGCCGACGTGACCACCTTGGATTTGGTAGCCATGAGACCCATAAGCTCTAACCCTAAACATCAAGGAGGTTTTTCGCCTATCGATTAGCAACGATGAGGATCTTTGTTTTCTCCTTTTTAGGCATTGTTTAGATCTAAGTATTAGCAGATCCGTTTGGATCCACTAGTAGTACTATAAACCAGATTTATTTCCATCCACTGTACTAGTTTTTTTAGCTGCAACAAAGTATTAGCACCATTGGATCTAAACAGGTTGTTATTATATATTTATTTCTTGACGTTGTGTGTGTAGTCTAGAAACCTAAATCATGCTAGTTCACAAATTAGCATTTTCCTTTCAAAAAAAAGAAATTAGATTTTTTCATAAAATGAAAAGCAGAATTGCTAGGCATCAACCGGTTGATTTGGGAGCCTTTGTCAACCGACTGTTTTGGCCGTCGGATAGGCGTGGATGGCTCGGGCGGCGCGGCCAGCGAAGCAACAGGCGCGGCCGGCTTCAGAGCTCACTGCTCCGGCCATGGCGGGCGCGGCGCGGGGCTGCGCGGGGCTGGCAGCCGGCGACGAGGAGGGTGAGGGCGGGCGTGGCGCGGGGCCGGGGGCCGGTGACGAGGAGGTCGAGCACGGGGTGCAGCAACGGTTGCGGCTCAGGGAAGGCAGGAAGGGAAGGGATAAGGGTGGGGAGTGTGGGTCCCACTGGAATTTGTTAAAAAATTATAATTTATTCTGAAAAATTTGAACAATTTGTGAATAATTTGATATATCTTCTCTGATATTTGTATTCCAGAAATAATTTGTAAATTTGTCTGAAAATTTTGACATATATTTGTATTATCCCTAAATTACATCACTCTGTTTAATAAATTACACTAAAACAATCATTGTAAATATAATAATAAGACGGTATAAATATAGTTATAAGATAGTGTAAATGCATAGTAAAAATTTAATTGATGGGAGAGGCTAAAACAACCCGTTGTTGACTACTACAACAGATCCAATGAAAAGTCAGGTCTGCACTTTGGTAGCAACGGAGCATGAAAATTATCATCAGAATACAGTCTAGCCTTTAGCATTCGAAAGTCTCAAAAAATGACGTCTGCTTAACTGCTCATCAATCATTATCCAATTCCATCCCCACAGGCCCGATTGACCGACCAAGAAGAATACACGCAGTGGAAGAAAAAAAAAACAGAGAAAAGAACCAAAAAGAAGAGGCAGGATTGCAGGAACTAGAAGACATCGCGCTTGCATGCTCTCCGCGTGAATCGGAGAGGCGAATTCAGATAAATGCTCGTCGACAAGCGCGGCCGTTGAGCTCCGGCATCGGCGTCGGTCGAGCGGAGGGCGCGCCGCTGCGGATCCGCCGCCGCCGGCGATTGTTATGGCCTCCCAGCAACAAAGGGGGATCGCCCGCCAGTCCGCATGGCCGGATCTCCCGCCGGAGCTGCTTGAGCGCATCGTCGCCGTCCTCGCCCCGCGCGACCGCGTCGCCGTCCGCCTCGTTTGCGCCTCCTGGCGCGCGTGCGTGCGGGAGTTCTTCCCGACCGACCTCCCATTCGAGGCTCCGCGCCTCCTCCTCCGCCGTCCGGGCACCGGCGGCTGGCTGGCCTTCTTTAGCCTCCAGCACCGCAAGATCCTGCCTTTCATGCTCCCGGCGAACCTGAGCGCCGGACGCTGCTGCGGCCACATCGGCGGCTGGCTCGCCATGGCCTCGGACGCCGACCGCTCGATCCTCCTCTGCAACCCCGTCTCCGGGAAATCCGTCGCCTTGCCCCCGCCTCCGGTGTTCCCCGTGTCAAAGATGGTGCTCTCCGGGCCCCCGACCTCCGGATGCTGGGTCGTCGCCGCGCTGGGCCGCACAGGCACAATCGTGCTGTTCCAGCCGGCTGTGTCTGCCGCTTGGATGACCATCGGCGTCAACGAGGGCGCCCAACACGGCGGGTTTAGGGACATGGCCTTCTGGAGCGGCCGCCTGTGCGCGCTGGGCCACGACGGGGCGGTCCTGGCGTTCCGTGGCGACCTCCGCGCGCGCGCCGCGGCGGTGTCGCTGCTGCGTGAAGCGGAGCACCCGGTGGGCGCGCTGGAGGCGGGGCACTGGCGGGTGTACCTGGTGGAGGGCGACGGGGAGCTGCTGGTGGTGAGGAAGCTGTACATGGTGCGGCGGAACAGCGAGGCGGTGGACCTGGCGGTGGAGGTGCACGTGCTGTCGTCGGCTGCGGAGCGCAAGTGGGAGCTGGTGGAGGAGATGCCCGGGCGGGCGGTGTTCGTGGGGTCGGTGGTGTCCACGGCGGTGCCCCTGGAGCTGTACCCGGCGGCCGGGCTGCGGGAGAGCTGTGTCTACTTCGCGCGGCGGGAGGTGGAGATGCTGGCGCCGCACGCCATCTGCGAGTACTCGATGATGGACGAGGAGATGAGGACCGTGCCCATCGCCGGTGGCCACTCCGCCGACGTGGAGCCCGTGTGGATCACCCCGTTCGTCTGAGTTCTGAACTCTGGGCGAGTGGCCTCCACCAGGCGATCAGGCGCCCAGGAATCTGTTTTCTTCTCCCATGTGTCCATGTGATGGATGGATTCTGTTTTCTTCTCCCGAGGAGGAGGAAGACTCTGTTTTGTTTATTTGCTTTTGAGATTTTACTGCTTTTGCTTTTCGCTCAAGGGTTTTTTTGTGCCAAGACAAGATGATGGCCGAGGCTGGCTGAATTGTAAATCTTGACAATTGGTCCTGATGCAAGGTACCCTTGAATGAACTAGAGAAAAATCCTGCGATGCGACCGAATTCTGCAAACAAGCTGAAACGTTGTCATGATCGGGATGTTGAAATTGAATCGGCGCTGGCACTGGAATTAATAAATGTGACGTCTGGGCAAAACTGAAGATTGCTAGGGGCTTCACCAGAAGAACTCGATAACTAAACTATATATAAGATTATTACCAAGGGTGCTGCTGCAGCTGTCTCCTCTCACAGAGCACTGTGCTAACAGCCAGCAGCAGCTGTTTTAACAGGCATCCAAACACACAGCCTGTTCGTTTGGCTGTGGCTTGGCATAAATGATCGTAAATTTTCAGTCGGAACAGTATTTTTCTCTCACACAAACCAACCAGCAATACTTCTTTACGAACCAGCAACGATACGAACCAGCCAACCGAACAGACTGACAGGCTACCGATGATCCGATGACAGTACTTCATTGGCCGTCAAGACAAAGACAGTATAATCACCGTAGAGAATGCATATGATTTTGATCAAAAGTCAGTGGATCGTTACAAGACAGGGACACCAATCAGTAAGTTCAAGTAGATCACTGACAAGAAATCTTGCAACTCGAACAAACACAACGTAGCTGGAGCTAGAAGGTGAACAAACACAACCATCGCGATGACCATGAGATCTTAAGGCCCAAGATACAAATGGTAGTCATTTAGGCCTTTCAGGAGTGGGCCGGGCCACCTCCACCAACGTGGGGAAGGGAGGGAGGGAGGGAGGAGCCCAGGCCCAGCAGGCGCACGGCGGAGCCCAGCAAAGACTCCGGGTACGGCGACGGCGACGGTGTCGATTGGTGCGATGCAAAGGGCGGAAGAAGCGAAGAAGACAGGGAGGGGGAGGGTCATCACTCATCAGGGATTCTCAGGGGTGGGGTGGGGAGGGACCAAGAAGACCACACCAACCCAGCAGCGCACAACTACCACAAGGCAGTGTCAGCGGCGGCGGACGGAATTCGAGAGGGGAGATGAAGGCCACGCTCAAGGGCCGCTACGAGGGCGACAAGGCCACGGCCGCCACCACCCTCGCCGCCCCCGCCGGCGACCTCCGCCTCAAGGCCTCAGCCACCGAGGCCGCCTTCGCCAACGGGCCTTCCCTCCGGGGCCTCACCCTCACTCTCGAGAAGCCCGGCGCCTTCCTCGTCGACCTCAAGCCCCACAACCAGGTAAACCGTCGTCTCCACCTACCTCCTCCTCCTCCTCCCCCCCCGCTCACCTACCCGAACCCGATTGGCGGCTGCCGCAGGATGTGCGCTTCCAGTTCATGAACTCCGCGCTCGTGCTCGACAAGCGCGTCAGCCTCACCTACACCCACTCCACCAGCTTCGCCACGGCCCCCGCGCCCCCCGCTGCCGCGCCGCCCTCCCGCACCGCGCTCGACTGCAGCGTCACCTTCGACCCCGCCAACAAGGTCACCCTCTCCCACTCGCTCGGCTCCGGCGGCTGCCGCCTCAAGTACACCTACGCGCACGGGGTTGACCGCCTCACCACCATCGAGCCCCTCTTCGACACCAGCAAGAACGCCTGGGAGTTCGCCGTCACCAAGAAGTTCGCCGGAGGGGACACCGTCAAGGGCACCTACGCCGCCTCCACCAAGCTGTTTGGCCTCGAGTGGAGCAGGGACTCTATCGCCGGCGGCTCCTTCAAGGTCTGTGCCTCTACTTCCACTCTCTTACTAATACTTAGTTGTTATACTACTTGCGCTTGGACATATACTAGTACTTCTTTGTGTTTCATCAATCTGCGCCTCCACCTAGTAGGATCCTGAATCCTGAATTGCACGCGACTCAGAAATGAGCGATTTTTATCCGGTTTTCTATGCTAGGACGATAACCAAATGTATGCTTCCATTTTCCTATTGTACTAGTGAGTGTTGCTTCCTACATGAGGACATATCAAACCGTGCAGGAGCAAGCCTGGACGATGGGTATAAATTGAAATTGGGTATGCACGAACACTCACATGTGCACAATTGTTTGTGTGTGGTTGGGCGCTGGCCCAGGTGGTTTGAACTTGCAAAGGAGCCTATTCATTATTGCAAATAAGAAATCTTTCAAAAAAAATATTGCAAATAAAGAGACATGCCTTATGCACCTGGGTAGCTGTTCACACTTGAGAGCACTTGCTACTTTAATCACAAAAACATTGCTATTTCTTTGTGTTGGAAAGGAATTGTTGATTCCTGTCAGTCCTACTTCCATTAGTAATCCCTGGTCACTACTTATTGTCAATAGAACATTTTCGAAGGGAAGTAATCCCATTTTTTCTTGCTGAGTGCAAAAGGTTCTTTATCGACTGTCGAGTATAGGTTGTTCTGTGCTATGGCCAATGGAAGGAGAGTAGAGACATTTTTCACATCCCCTGTGGCTATAGGTGTGTTTTGATGATGGGGTTTGCTTTAGGAAATTTAGGATTTAGTTCAAATTTGAACTTTGCACTGAGTATTTAAATACTCCATCCAAACATGCCCTATCTTCCTTAGAATCCCTAGGTAGTTCTAGCAGCATTATTTAACCTGCATTTAAAAAAAAATTAATTTCTTCAGTTTTTGCTAGAGTCAAACATACATAATTGAAACTCTTAAGAAATTAGTTATAAAGCATTTTGGGTACATGACACAAAGTCTGTTTTATTTTGAAAATGAGGGAAGAAGATTCCATCTGAGCTGTATTGAGGGTCCAAAAAGGTTCCATAATTGGATGTAATGGCTGTGGACCTGTGGTCACCAAACTCACCTGACCTGAAATTACGTGAAGAGCCTGTTGTGCGGGGTAGTGAATCACTAAGTCAGTACAATTTGAGAATATAGTTTTTCCTCCAAGCATTTTAATTGCCCTGCATGAAGATACTATACTGCCCAAGTTGGATGATATAGCCAGTGAATTATGTTCAATTGAACTCGGGAATCTCAGAATAAACCAATAGAAAATATCCCATATCTATATCTCATACATAGAAACCGTGAAGTTTGTGAAAATCTTGCTCATCCTGGTAGTTGAGGCTTAGATTCTTGGAAGTTGAAGCTATTCTACAGCTGTCTGACCATTGGTGTTCAATGTGGCCTCAACTTAGTTTGGCACTGTGTTTTGTTTTGGTCACTTCAAACTCTTGTAATTTCGTTGATGTTTAGTAATGAAATTCGGCTTGGCCGTTGTGGAAAAATTCTACAGCTGTCTGGTTGTTGGTTGCTTGAATAGAAAAGAGAGCTGGTGTGGGAATATGAGAGGACTCAGGATACTGTGATGCATATGTGTACTTTGGTAGTTCAGTAAATGAATTTGGATCTTTGAGTGCATGAATTTGGATCTTGTCAATGTAATAAGGAAATACTCCCTCCAGTTCGATTTCTAAGGCGTCTTTCGTTTTGGAGAAAGTCCTTTATGTTAGGCGTCACATGTATACTTACATGTGCACAGTTGTTTGTGTGGGGTTGTGTGCTGGCACAAGTGGTTCAAGTTTTCAACGGACCCTATTCATTACTGCAAATGAGAGGCATGCCTTGCGCACCTGGGTAGCTGTGTTCAGACTTGAGAGGACTTGCTACTGTAATCACAAAAAGATTGCTCTTTCTTTGTGTAGGAAAGGAGTCCTGCTTCCATTAGTAAGCCCTGGCCACTACTTGTTGCCAATAGAACGTTTTTGAAGGAAGTAATCCCATTTTTGCTTGCTGAGTGCAAAATAAGGTTCTTTGTCGACTGTCGCGTATAGGTTGTTCTGTGGACACTGGAGAGGGGATATGGTCGGTTTTGTTTTCAGATAAACATACTAGTTATGGCCTATGAGAGGAGAGTAGAGACATGTTTTGATGATGGGGTTTGCTTTGGGAAATTTAGGATTTAGTTCAAATTTTAACTTTGCACTAAGTATTTAAATAGAAATCCTCCATCTAAACATGCCCTATCTTCTTTATGAATCCCTAAGGTAGTCCAAGCAGCATTATTGAACCTGCATTTTCTTTAAATTTTAATTTTAATTTCTTCAGTTTTTTTCTGGAGTCAAACATTCATTTGTTTTAGATGCAAACATACAGAATTGAAGCAATAATAAATTTGTTATATAGCATTGTGGGTACATGACACAAAGTCTGTTATTATTTTGGGAAAGGGGGAAGATGATCCGATCTGACCTGTATGGAGGGGTCCAAATAGGTTCCATAATTGGATGTAAAGGCTGTGGTCAACTAAATCACCTAAACCTGAAATTATGTGAAAAGCCTGTTGTGTGGGGAAGTGAGTCATCTAATCAAGTAGTCAGTATAATTTGAGAATGTGGTTTTGTCCTCCAAACATTTTAACTGTCCTGCATACAGATACCATGCTGCGAATTATGTTCAATTGAGTATAATTTGGATGATATAGCCAGTGAATTATGTTCAATTGAGCTCAGAAATCTCAGAATAAACCAATAGAAAATATCCCATGTCTATATCTCATGTATAGAAACCGTCAAGTTTGTGAAAATCTTGCTCATCCTGGTAGTTGAGGCTTAGCTTCTTGGAAGTTGAAGCTATTCTACAGCTGTCTGGTTGTTGGTTGCTTGAATAGAAAAGAGAGCTGGTGTGGGAATATGAGAGGACTCAGGATACTGTGATGCATATGTGTACTTTGGTAGTTCAGTGAATGAATTTGGATCTTTTCAATGTAATAAGGAAATACTCCCTCCAGTCCGATTTCTAAGGCGTCTTTGTGTTTTCGAGAAAGTCCTTTATATTAGGCATCACATGTATACCGATGGGCAAGGTTTAGCTCGCTGATGGAATTGAACAGGCGCTTGCATGCAGATTTTCCCGTTTTCCTTCCTATGCGATTAATATCGCTCCAATAAAAACACTCAACAACCAGCGCAGGATCAATACTGAGGATCGCTTCTTGGTATCTGGAATTTCACGGTGCGCGTCTTAGAAACTGGACTGCAGGGAGTAACTGATTTAATAAGGGATGTAAGAGGAAACATTGAAAATGTTCCTTTGTTCTTCATGATCTGGTTTCATACCTAAACAGTCTTTTGTAAGAAATGCATTACTTCTCCGTTTAGGCAACAATACCATGGGATTTTAGGAGTAATTAATCAAATTTCCCCCAAAAATCGAGGGGATTGATCCTCGTAGTCCTAGTATAATATCTGTGGTGTATTGAGTGCTTTGTGGCGCTGCCATATTGAGTTTGGCAATGCTGGTGTGGTGCTGAACCACTGGTCCTTAGGAAAATCAAATTGTCCCGCTGGATATATTGCCCCGCTTGTCTGGAATCATCATCTATGAAGGTGGCAACCATTTCCTATGTTGTTGCCAACAAGATGAGCGAGCGTGTCGACATTTCGTTTTTAGATATTTCTATGCCTGTACTGTACAGCTGGTGGTTACATTTGTAACATGATTTTCCTTGATTCTGACTGTCCCATGCTTCCTTTGTGCAGGTCGGGACGACATTCGATTTGTCTGACCAAAGCAAAGCACCAAAGCTAATAGCAGAGAGCACGTGGAACTACGAGATATGATTTTTGCCTGAGGAAGCAGCAGGCAGCTCCTTATATCCCCCCATAAAAATGAAAGCGCCCTTCGCATATCACACATACTGCTTGATTAGTGTATCCTCCTGAACTAGGGAGCTATTGTTTTTCGGGTCGGCGCGCCCCATGGTGGTTAATTTTTTATATCTGGTTCTGTTGATCATTTTTTTGGCCGTCGTGCCATGGGAGTTTTCGCTGAGCAGCGGTCGAATGATGCTATGACACATTGGATTCTGAGAATGAATGAAAACCGAGTATGGTCTATGTCCTTGGTGTTTGGTAGTGGTGGTGTTTTCTTTTTTCTGTGGAGCAATGTTTGGCTGAATCTGAATTGAATGGATCCTCTGTCCGTTCGGGTTTGGGCAATTGGGCGGCATGTGGTATTCGATCTGCTCGCATGTCACCATGGTCATACCCTCTGCTTCCGCTCATGTGGTGGCGTCAGCTGACGAAGGTGCTCAAGGCGCGGCGTGGCGGCGTCAAGAGCAAGACCGGCGAGGTGGCCTCTGCCGTCGGAGCTCTGGCCGGCCCTTCCTGTGTGAACAACCCACCAGCCAAATCACTCACTGTCGTCCATTCCGTATATACACCACCCAAATCTAGTCTGCCAAAGATTTGCCAGGTTGTCGCTGAACTTTCCAGGATTCAACGTTGACAGTTTGAATACAAGAAAGAGCATCAGGTTACCGTGGGTAGCATACGTATTTACTGGCTTTGCTGAACTCTGCCAGTGGCTACCGTGATGGCTGACGTGATTTTGCCACTGGATCTTGTTGTGCCCCATCACACACACACACACACAGGGCCTGATCTTCGTCGTCGACAGCAGCTCAACAACCTACCACGCACATCGTCTCAGTTCAGCCTTTGCTTGCCGTTGCAGTAGCCTTCTGACGATGTATGAACTCGCGGAATGGAAGGGGATGATGGGCTCAGGAGGAGTTCAGAGACGCTGCCCTGCTCGTGCTTGCAAATAAACAGGACCTTCCCAACGCCATGAGATGAGTGCAGCCAAGATGTGATCTGAGAGCAGCTTGGTCTTCAGTTCCCTCGTCAGGCCTCTACATGTTAGAAGTTGAGTGAACTTATTACTGACTATTGTCTCCAACCAACATTGAACTGTAAACTGGAACCTGACCATTGTCTCCAGCCAACATCTGTATATATGAAACCTGCGTCCAAATCGTGGCCAGCCAGCGTGCCACGTCACGGGCTTTTAGTGGCCGTTCGATCGGGCGCGCGGACGGCCCAGATCGGTCGATCCGCGGTCATTTTACGAAAAACCCCTTCTATGTTTTGGAAATAAACCCGCGCTCCAGAGGCCCTCTCAGAATATTTTGTAAAAAACACCTCAGATTATTTCCAAATCAACCCGCAGTCCAGAACGGATGGGCTCCGGGTTGGCTCGTCCGTCGAGCGAATGGCGACGCGGGCGCCAGCCACCAGCGAGGCGGCGCAGCCCACGCGGGAGAGCCGAGCGCGGCCACCACCGCGCACCAGCCACCAGCGAGGCGGCGCAGCACACGCGGGCGAGCCGAGCACGCCCACCACCGCGCACCACAAGATCGGGCGCCGCCCACAGACGAGGCTACGGAGCGACCCGAGCACACCTGGATCTCCGCCGCGCGCCCAAGCAGTACCTCAAGCACAGATGCGCTGGTACGGGGCTGACCTCAAGGGTGGAGGCGCCGGCGCCCTCATGCGCTCCGCCGCCGCCGCTGCAGCGACTTGGACGGCGCCACGCCGCTTCACCTCGCGGTAGCAGAATCCGCCCAAAAGGCTGCACCGCGCTTCGGCCTCGTTCCATCTCTCCAGGTGAGCACTGGATGGAACCTCTGCTCGGATTTCTGCGGCGTGGTGTTTTTCTTGCGCTAATCGATTGCTAGACTAGATGGTCGCCTGACTGATTTGAGGAAACAGAGGTTGGGGAAATTGAGGACCTCGGTAGGTAGACGGATAGATTAGCTCTTTCCCCAATTTCGAATCACGGATATGCTTCAATTTAAGCTATTGTTCACTTTATCTGGATTCCTTAACCAGTTACGTGGCCCGGTGGGCATTTTGTGGACTATTGGGGGGAATGGTTCTCGATACCTTAAGCTTGTTCTTCCTGCAGCTGCCTGTCTACCCTATGTAGTGCTGCGGTTGCAGTCGACCTTGTTAGTAAGGGTGATTTAGTTTTCATCTTCAATTTGCTCTGTTTGCAAAACTCAACAAACGTGGCTTGGGTATCTTTCAGAAAACATACCTGTGTTGTGATTTAGGGCGACATTTGCTCATCCTACCAAATTTGCTGCATCAAACTGCTTATTTGATGGCGTAATTGTTCAGTTCCAAAGGGTGCTTTTGTTCTCTATACGATCTACTGTAGGATTAGCAGGCCGGATGGCCCCATTAATTACAATTTTATCTTTTGATGAACATATTAGTTGTTAATGAGAACATGAAAAAGGAAATGAACACCCCTTACTGCTTTGAATGGAAACAGTCAGGCATCAAAGCTTGGATTTTTTTTTTAGCCGAACTGCTTTGTTTTGTCAATTTTTGGCCTGATGGTATCAACAGACTCACTTGCACTGTTCTGTCTCTTTGTTTATTGGTTTAATGGTTGCACTGCTCTGCTTGTTTGTTGACGCGCTTGTCTTTTTCGGCGCCGGCACCGCCTGCGCAACAATCAACAACTACGCTGGTACGCCGACCGACTTTCTGCCGCTTCTCGCGGAAGCATCGGTGGTGATGGCCTGCTACTCCACTCGATGCGCCTTCTTCTCCAAGAGCTGCACACCGAGCTCATTCTTTGCAGCTGGGCGCCGTGGACACGTATGGCGGCGTGCTGGACTTCATTCCTTCCATTTTGCGATGAGCAATGAGGTATTAGAACTCAAATATGCCCAGATTAGTTGCAATTAATAGAAGTGTGCATAAGGAACCCGTACTTATTTTCTCTAATGATCAGATTAGTCAAGTCCATCGTCTTATGTCCTTTTTTTCCCTTTGTTGTCCGTACAGTTCTATCCGACTCTGGATACATCCAAAAAGAGTTTCCATGATCCTAAAGCTTTTTCATTCAGCAATGCCACAACACTTAATACTGATACATGTATATTTTTTTTACTTCTTACTTCCACTCCTACCTAATGCTAAACCTATTGAATAGTTTGACAAAGAACCATACTGTGATCTACAGCTGATTGGTTTATCAAAGTGATTTGGTTTAGCAAGTGTAGAAGTAGAACCTAAGTAGCAGGATTAACTTCTAGCTTACCTCCTGGAAGTTTGCTTTCCCTGTCAGTTGATGCTAACTTGTATTTTCTTTAACTGTAGACTCATCTAAAAGATTGCTTCTTTGGTGTGATAATATGTGAATGATTATTTTTGCCTATGCCATTTTGTATTTCAGGCTATCGTTCCATCGTTCATCACAGGTCAAACAAAGATGATGATGAATCGGAGAGTACGAAGGACACTAAAGCTCACCTGCACAATGCTTGTCTTTGCACCTACAAAGTCTTGCTGGCAGCCAAGTCTATGACCTAGTACTAGTACCTTTCTGAGCTTATGATATGAGTTATTTGGTAGTTTATATTTCATATTTATATAGTTGCTGTTTTGTTTTTATTCTGCAAAGTGAGCTCCAACATCATATTCCATATAAACTCACGCATGGCAATGACCCAATACATGCAAGCGTGCGGCAACGCCGCGCGTGGTTTCTAGTTGAACTGAAACTGAAACCTGCGGATTCACATTCAGACTGCTCGTGCAAGTGCAACCTCAGGACCCCAAGGTTGCAATTCATTGTACACTTGTCAGAAAAGAAGATAAAAAGCATCTTTAATTTCTTTCCATGAGGAACAGGCATAAAAAGGGAAACTGTTGTCGGTTATCCTATCCTAATCTAAAAGAAGAAAAAAAATGTTGTCGGTTGATAGATAAGCCTAATGGTTGCACTTGTATTTTGCACCTTTTATTTTCCTTGGCTTCGAAGCCTAGAGTTAAGAATATGCTCAACATCCACTTTAGTGGTTGGAATGTGTTGTAGTAAGTGTGTCTCATTTGCCTATAAAAGGTAAGGGAGTGTGAAAGGTCCTAATGGCTAGAGGGAGGTGAATAGGCTATTAAAAAATTCTTCAACAACACTTAACAAACTGGTTAGACGATTATAAGGCGAAACGAGTGTTGCGCTAGTCTACTAAATATATATAAGCCACCTACTACAATTTTAGTTTCTATGGTCTCTAACCACACAATAGCTATGTCACTACACTAAGTTAGTGTGGTCTCAAAGACTAACTAAAGAGCCACACTGACCAAACTAACAAGCTCTCACAACTAGCTACACTAAAGAGCTTGATAACTAGTTTACAGTAATATAGAGAGAGAGAGTAAGATAGTTATACCGTCGTGTCGATGAGTGAACCAATCAATCACAAGAATCAATATCAATGAAGACCAATCACCTCGGAATCAAATGATGAACATAATGATTTTTTTACCGAGGTTCACTTGCTTGTCGGTAAGCTACTCCTCGTTGTGGCGATTCACTCACTTGGAGGTTCACGCGCTAATTGGCATCACACGCCAAACCCTCAATAGGGTGCCGCACAACCAACACAAGATGAGGATCACACAAGCCACGAGCAATCCACTAGAGTACCTTCTGACTCTCCGCCGGGGAAAGGTCAAGAACCCCTCACAATCACCACGATCAGAACCCCACACAAGCCACGAGCGATCCTCGCTGCTCCAAGCCGTCTAGGTGACGACAACCACCAAGAGTAACAAGCGAATCCCACAGCGAAACACGAACACCAAGTGCCTCTAGATGCAAACACTCAAGCAATGCACTTAGATTCTCTCCCAATCTCACAAAGTTATTGAATCTATGACGGAGATGAGTGAGAGGGCTTTGGCTAAGCTCACAAAGTTGCTATGTCAATGCAAATGGCCAAGAGAGTGAGCTTGAGCCGGCCATGGGGCTTAAATAG